CTTAGAGCCTTTGCAGGTTAAATTTTGGTTCCAGAACAAACGAACACAAATGAAGGTAAGTAACTTGCACAAAAACACAAATTTGTACTATGAAGGTTCAAAGAAGTTGCTATGTAATTTGTACAACTTATTTATTTATTTTTATTTTTTTATGTTATACAACTTAATTATGTGACTATAATATGATCCTGGACCTCTTTAGTCAGTGTTAGCTTTTTCAATGGGGAATATCATAAATGACTAGCAAGTCATATTTAGTCATTGATATAGTTGGTTGTCTATTAGAGCTAAGACGCTCAATATCGCAATTTCCATATTGTTCAAAGCGTATTATATGTACACAGGCATAAATGTATCCTCGTCTGATGGTCCTATATGGAGAAAATTTATTTATTATCATATGTACATCCATAATCCTTTATTAATTTTGGTATTCTGACATCAATTTGGTTTAACTATAGTTGCAATTTTCTAAATCTATAATAAGTAACGACACTAATTAGCTAGCTGTTTTAACCATTTTTTCCTCTCCTGTGATGGGTATATACAATCCATTAATTACTTGTTATTAATTTGTTTGTGATGGAACACACCTAGTCGAATGTTGACTGTATTTGCACTTATACTTGTATTTAGACAAGCAACATTATTCTAAATAAGCTAGCTGTTAAAAATTGATATTATACTGCATAAGCTAACTGCTCAAATTCTGGCCTTTTTTCATTTTCCTTCTGTATTAGGCTCAGCATGAACGCTTTGATAACACACAGCTGAGGAATGAAAATGAAAAGCTCCAGGCAGAGAACATACGGTACAAGGAAGCCCTCGCAAACGCCAACTGTCCTAACTGTGGAGGGCCAGCAGCTATTGGTGAAATGTCTTTTGATGAACAACAGTTGAGGATTGAAAATGCTCGTCTACAAGAAGAGGTATATTAGATTTTACCCTAAGAAATAATATTTTCCTCACAAGTTTAAGTAGGGTAAGTGCTATTTTTATAACATACCAAAGTTATTTCTTTGGCTTTTTTAACAGATTGATAGGATATCTGGAATTGCTGCCAAGTATGTTGGCAAGCCAATGCTCTCTTACCCTGATGCATCGTCTCAAGGACCCTCTCGCTCACTTGACTTACCTGTGCCTAGTTTTAGTCCACAACAAGGGATGGTAGGCGAGATGTTTGGAACAAACGACCTTCTTCGGTCCATGGCTGGCCCTACTGAGGCTGAGAAGCCTATTATCATTGAGCTAGCTGTTACAGCCATGGAGGAACTGGTTAGAATGGCTCAGGTTTGTGAGCCCTTGTGGGTTCCAACCTCAAATAACTCTCATGAGATTTTAAGTGAAGATGAGTATATGCGGTCATTTCCTAGAGGCATTGGGCCGAAACTAATGGGATTGAAATCTGAAGCTTCAAGGGAATCGATGGTCGTCATCATGAATCATATGACTCTTGTGGAAATTCTAATGGATGTGGTATATATTTACTAAACATGCTATCTTTTTGTGGTAACATTATTATAAATGATGAAGCACTTCCCTAATCTAACCATGATTTTTCAGAATCAATGGTCAAATGTGTTTTGTGGCATTGTTTCAAGAGCAATGACTTTAGAAGTGCTTTCAACCGGAGTGGCTGGCAATTATAATGGAGCTCTTCAAGTGGTAAGAAATCAGTCATCCAATGTCTTGTGGATCCAATGCAATAATTCAATTGATTCTAGATAATTTTAGGCATATTATATTTGAAATTAAAAAAGTTGTGAAGTACATGCTTCACAATCACTTCCGAATCTTAGACTTAAAAGTCTAAACCGATTAATCAAATTGATTTCTACATGTCACTACAAGAAATATCACCAATTCCGACGAAGCATAAAAGCGACATTTGCTCTTCCGATCCACTCGTCTTTCAGGATCAGACTTTAGGGTTTAGGGTTTAGGGTTTAAGGTCAGAAAAGGTAAAGTAATCTCTAGGAATCTTGTAATCTCTATATAGGCCCTTAAATGTTGGAGTTTCTAGAGTTAAGCTGGCCTACACCATCGTTCAGGGCGGTTGGAGAGGAGTTATGCAAGAATTACACTAAAGCGGAAAAGAAGGAGGTACTGTTTTACTTTTGTATTTACGACGGCGTGGTTGAAGGTCACCGATAGGACCGATATCTCATCCTCATTGAAAACCGTTTTCATAGTCATTTGATTTTTGAAATGGTTCTAAGGTGGTAAACCAATCTTTATGTTAACACATAAGGTAAGTATAAACACAATCAAGACCCCATATTTATCATCAATGTCGGTATATCCAACAATAACAACAAAAACCTCTTATTCGAAACTTCATGGGCATAGTTTGTAGAATTGTCATCTTCTTTACCCTTGAATCTATTTGAGTTTCGCCCCTTTTATTTATAATATTTCCATGTCTGGTCCATCGAAAGATACCATTTGTTTCATATTTTTCCTTAGCATACAAGGTTTCATAAACCTGAGAGTGAGGGTAACAACTATAAAGTATGGTGTCTCTGAAATTGGTATATGAACACAATAATGAAATAACATAAGAAAACCCAAATGTTCCTCATTGTACTTCACTTCCATCGTTGCCACATTGGAAATTATCTCTTTGAAATCAAAAAATATGAATGATAAGGTTTCCTTCATCCTGTAATTTGTATAGAAACAACTTATGATTTAAATACATTTTCACCGGTAAGATCTTTTTTTTCATCCATATGGATTACTGTTTGAGCAAAAGAGCAGTTTCGGTCTTCTCCTTAGAACTTCTAGTTTGCAGAATGTTGTTGGGAGAATGAAGTTGAATTTGAAATAGGTCTTTATAATCTTTCTCCTTCCTTTTTAGTCTAGTCGATTTGATTTTTGGCTTTAAAAAGAATTCAATGAATCATCAAAATTTGCTTGAGCCATTAATTCTCTAATCTTGACTTGCCATAAAGAAAAATTGGTATCACAATCTAACAATGGCAGGTCATATTTCACTGAAGCCGTTTGTCCAATATCACCTTAAAATGTATAAGAGAAATCTGATTTGAAAGTATTCATGTTTAGAGAAAATCGACAAACCTTGCGTCGGTTTAGGATAAATTGACAAAACATTTGCATGTTTAAGAAATAAATCAAAGATTGTCTAACTTATTATCAAACATCAATACTTTTTTAAAGATGAAATTAAATTTCTCTTAAAAATCAGAGATCAAATAAATAATTGTCTAACTTATTATCAACATCAATACTTTTTTAAGAAAATGATGAGAAAATAACAAATGTTATTTATAGAGCATTTGAAAAAAATGTAAATTATGAGAAAATGACAAGTGACACTAATAACTATTATATATTATAATAAATAAAGATCTTTTTGTCGCATGCCATACTCTTATTCATTTTGTTACATGTCATTTTATGCTTATTTTAAATTAGTTTTTTTTTTCTATATGTCATTTTATTATTTTTTCTTTTTTATTAAATTACACATAGTATTTAAATGTAATAATTAAAATAAATATAATAATAAAATGAGTATCAGTTTCATTAATAGACTTACCTTCTAATTTTAAAATCTCTAAATTAAAACTTCATTAGTTTCCTTTGTTTATTTATCTAAATAATTTATTTAAATTAATTAAAGAAAAAATACTTTAATTTTGATAATTCAATATTTTTTTTCTTATAAATTCAAACTTATCAAATGTTTAGAATTTCATATTTAATTTTTTTTTAAATAAACTCATGTAATACATGGGTCTTACACACAGTTTATTAGTATAATAAGAAGATTAGAACAATTAATCTAAGGCTATATTTATCAGCTAAGAAACTATAATCCTAAAATAATGTAAAGACTTGTAATTAACTACCAACAAATGGCAATGTATCCTGATCCTTAAAACTTGGAAACCAATAAGAAACAAAATAACTCCTAAAGAGGGAGAATTCAGCTCACACGTCGGCCTTTTATCAAGTATAATTTTTTGTTGAAAGTTGGTAATCAACAACTAAGATATTTACTCGCAGTAGGTTGCAAAAAAGGTCATTGTGAATTTTTCCCCGGAAACAGATTCATTAGCCAATTTCAAAAGGCCTACTACAACAACGTGTGGCTTCAGTATTTATTATTTTTGCATATATATACTTAGATGTGACAAAGATTATTATTTACACACTTTAGGATTTTTCACATGTGTTTAGTATGAAAAAGATTATGGTATCTGCACGTCAAGATAATTAGTGGAGAAATGAAGTGTAATATACTTGTATTTGTTGTAGTGAGCTATAAAATGAAACCCCAATTGTATTTATTTCTATGTTGTTCTAAACGGTTTGTTTTTCCAGATGACAGCTGAATATCAAATTCCTTCACCACTCGTTCCAACACGAGAAAACTATTTCGTTCGGTATTGTAAACAACATGGTGATGGGACGTGGGCGGTTGTTGATGTATCCTTGGATAATATGCGCTCATCAAGTTCAAGATGTAGGAGAAGGCCCTCTGGCTGCTTGATTCAAGAACTTCCTAATGGCTACTCAAAGGTACACCCTCTAGCTTCAATCAATATATTATTTAGCTTTGATGAAGTAAATGGATGTCACAAATCATGTCTTGTTTTTGTTTCTAGGTCACTTGGATCGAACATGTTGAAGTTGATAATGGTCCCGTTCATGATATCTATAAGGTACTAGTAAACTCTGGTCTAGCATTTGCTGCAAAAAGATGGGTAGCCACTTTAGATAGACAAAGTGAACGACTTGCAAGCGCAATGGCTAGCAATATTCCTGCAGGAGATGTCGGAGGCAAGTCTCTTAGATCACATTCATATCTTTCCTAGTATCTGATTAAAGAACATTTCTAGTATTATTTAATAAAACAAATGATTATCCTATTCATTCTTTTTACAGTTATAATGTCTCCAGAAGGGCGAAAGAGTATGTTGAAGTTAGCAGAAAGAATGGTGTTGAGCTTCTGTAGTGGGATTGGTGCTTCGACTGCTCACACATGGACAACTTTATCTGGTAGTGGAGGAGATGATGTGCGTGTAATGACCCGAAAGAGTGTAGATGATCCAGGCAGGCCTTCTGGTATTGTGCTAAGTGCTGCAACTTCATTTTGGTTACCAGTTCAACCAAAACAGGTTTTCAATTTTCTTCGCGATGAGAACTCTAGGAGTGAGGTAAATTATGCAACTAGCCTTTAATATAAAACCTTATATATTCATATGACATTAGCTCTTTAATTCTATTTTATACATCTAGTGGGACATACTTTCAAATTGTGGGCATGTTGAAGAAATCGCACACATTGCCAATGGTCGTGATCCAGGAAATTGTGTTTCCCTGCTGCGTGTTAATGTAAGCTCTAGAATTAAATATAACACACTTAGTTCTTCCTATATACTGAATATATATGAATTTTACACATTTCATATGTCAATATGCAACTTTATAAATAAACATTTTAATCTCTTGCCAATTAATTAATCAGATGACTTTCAACTTGTACATTGTAGAGTGCAAATTCAAGTCAGAGCAACATGCTCATCCTACAAGAGAGTTCAACCGATTTTACAGGTTCATATGTTATATATGCACCAGTGGATATTGGTGCAATGAATATTGCATTAAATGGAGGTGATCCAGATTATGTTGCGTTGCTTCCATCTGGTTTTGCCATACTTCCTGATGGACCTGGACATTATGAAGGAGGAGTTCTTGTTGGTGGAACCGGTGGATCATTACTCACCATCGCATTCCAGATTTTAGTAGATTCGGTTCCTACATCCAAACTATCACTACGATCGGTGGCAACAGTTAATAGTCTTATTAAGTGCACGGTTGAAAGGATCAAAGCTGCAGTCGCTTCTAATATGAGTAAAGCAATGGGGATTTTATAAGGTAAAACAACCAACCTCACTTGGTTACATCAGATCTCAAATTATTCATTTTTTAATACACGTTAATTAGGTTAACATGGTGGTGGTTGAGGGGTGTTGCACTGATGTGGCTACTCCAATGCGTGTTGTATACCTATCAGCCATACGAATTGTAATTATAGCATTTTGTTTTGATTAGATCTATCCATTTATGTACTTTGCAGTGGTGTGAAGGAAAGGGGAAAAACATCTTGGCAGGCGATAATTTCTCTGTTATCTTTAGGAATAGATGGAAGAAGTCAAGAACGAACCTGAACGATCATTCCTTTAGAAATTTTCAAGGTTTATCAAGGTTCGGGTATTGACTTTGCATATCTTGAAGATTATAGAGTAAACTTAGACCTTGTCGAGTAAATACTAGTTAAAACTCTCAAACGCTTCTTTTTTTTTTTTCTCTTGGGTTTCATTAGAGATTTTCAGTCTTTTGTGTTTTTTGGATTAGAATTAAATTGGTAACCTGCATCAAGCTACAGGCAACAACTCTTACTGTCAGATTAGCACTTTTGTCCAATGTTTAGCTATTCCTTGGTTTGATACTTATGTTGGGAAATAAATTTCAGGTTCACTTTATTTATATTTGATTTTTAATTTTGTTAGGTTAAAGGGTGTGGTGCCTTGAATTGACTTCAACAATTGGTGCCACATAGGCACCATGTAGGAAGCCTCCAACATTTTTCATTTGATGCCTATATTATGGTGTGGTGCCCTCCAATGCCTCCAATATTTTGCATTTTTTTTAAAACAAACATTTCATAGCATGTTAAGTCATCAAAATTACGAAATTCAACAGATTTGAATACAAATTATGATGAAAATGGTAAAAAAAAAAATAGTCAAACCTTTCCAATAAAGATGATTTGGGATGTTTCTTCATCTTCTGATCCTTGGTCCATTTCCCTGTTCCTTTTTTAACCTTCACAAGCAATGAAGGTAATTAGGGATTCACTATCAATAAGTGATAAAGGTTGATTTGGGCTTGAATATCCATTAACATATTTATACAAATTTTTGCATGTCACCTTCCACCTAACAACTACATAGCATGAAAGTGACAAAAAAGAATTCAATGGCGTGTATCCTTGAAACCAGCTATTAGAAAAATAAAGGGAGATTTGGGCTTGTATCCTTCAAACCAACTATTAGAAAAATAAAGCCTTCAATGGCGTTTTTAACAAAAAAGAATTTCGGCATAATATTACCAAAAAAAAAAAAAAGATCAAATTTCCATGGCTTTCTTACATGAGCTTAACATCAAGACCCGGTTCCATCTGCAACATGTAGTTCAACATCACATACGGAAGTTCCCACAAATTAAAGTTGGAATGATAATCTATCTTTTCTAATAAATAAACCTAAATTTGTCACTTATCACTCTATTAAACAATATGTTGTACACGTGACATCTTTTCTCAAGTCTATTTGTTTGTCTTTCAAATTTCAAATCCCCTCATATTAAGCAATATCAGACTTGTTAAACTTATTTAAATTCAAATCCCCTTATATTTTACAATATCAAATCGGAAATTAAGGAAGGTACGTATTAGAAAATATATCATGAATAAATCAATCTCCTTGATTTTTATTCTTCAAAACCAAATTTCAATCATTTATTTATGGAAAGGTTATTTTCTAATAGAATATTATTATCGGGTTTTATATATTTTAAATAGCTTATATATAGAGTTTGTATAGCCAAACATTTTAAACAATCATCATTTTGGTACAGGATTGAACATTATTTAAAATTTCTATACATTTAAAATATTATTTATACATAATTAATCATTATAAGTTTACCAATATAAATACTATTTATAACCGTAATTATCTTAATAAACAGAAAAGTTTGGGGGTACAAAAGTGTCAAATGGTGCTTCTTTTGTTTCAAAAAGCTTCACATTATTTAATTAGCTATATTTACTAATGCATTACGCATATATATATATATATATAATATATATAGATATATATATATATATATATATATATATATATATATATATATATATATATATATATATATATATATATATATATAGCCAAAGAATGTTCGATTCTTCAAATTAAAGATGGCAGATTATAACTAATTTGTAATTTAGAAACCAAAAATAATAACCAAAATCCTAAAAACTAAAAAAGGTAAGCTAGAATATTTATCATATATGCATTAACCATGAGTATGACAACCACAATTCATACTCTCAAGCACTTGAATGTAAATCAAAATTAAACAGAAATATGGTGTGATTTTAGCCATGATGTAACAATCATGGCTTTATTAGAGGAAGTTATGATTTTTCTAAGATTCATCATAGTGGTATACATCTCAGAAATCAAATTTTAGATCGGTCGATTTTTAGCCGAAACAATCTACACGAGAATTGAAGATCTCGTTAATAGGAGTTCAACGATAAAAAGGCAATCGAAACCAAACGTTGGATGACAAAGTTATGAATTTATAGCGGACTTCAACTGTATAAGCATATTAAAATATAACTTTACAAATAAAGTCAAAATTAGCCGACGGAGTCTAAACGAAAGTTGTAGATCTCGTTGATAGCTACGCGTGGATATATAGAATGTTAAAAACGGAGTTCGTATAAACAAGTTATAATTTATAATAGCATATTAACGTATTAAAATAAAGTGTGTGTGTATATATATATATATATATATATATATATATATATATATATATATATATATATATATATATATCATTGGAAATGTATCGACGATGCAATCGTTATAAGACTAATGTTGAATACCTTCGACAGTAGTGTAGTACAAATATCGTTAAATCTATTTAAAATAAATAGTATTATAAATGAGCGTTTGGTCGCTTAAATAACTATAAGGTTGTTTAAGTAACTATAAATGGTGGTTTTTGAAAATTTAATTACTATAAATATGAGGGTCTAGGCTCTCATATTTCTTGCAGCATTCTCATGATTCAAGAGTATTTCTCTTCTTATCTTCGAGCATTTCGGTCCCTCGTGATTCGACTTCTCTTTTTGTAGTTTTAGTATAGTAAAGTGAGCGCTGAAGTGCTACAAGAATCTTTTTAGAAGAAAGATTCAACGACGAAGTTCTGACCACGGAGTTCTATGTTTTTCGCTAAACCACATGTAAGTTGAGTTATGCTTACTGTACTTTAAGTATAACTTATATTTAAGTTATTATCATTATTATGAACCTATAAACAAAATTTATCAGTCATTCCAAGTCGTTATGCAGATTGATCTACTTACGGAGATGATGACAAGGCTAGATTTAGTGAGGTGTTTAAAGTGGGCTTTCCTAACAGTATACTTTGTATGCCAAACGAACCCTACCTTCGATATGATCTTACCTGGTTATCCCTTATCAACTATTGATCAATATAATTTGAACTAATGATGAATCTAAACTAATATTTAGTTGCAAGAAATATTAGACTAAGGCATAGTGATAATGATACTAGGTTATGTCAAAGGGAAAGATAGTTGCTAGAAGCGAAGCGCTGTTCGAATTTCGAGTCATAACCTTAACAAGTGAGTGCATAGTTACTTTGATCTTACACATAGATATGAAGTATTTAATTAAGATAATTATATGCTATATGTTCCTATTATCTGTGTTCATAATATCTATGCTAGATGAACGATTTATATATGTTTTACTTGATTTAAACTGTATACATATTTTTATATACCTATAAATATATTGGGTAAAGATTGGTAGATGAAAGATGATATAGATTAAAGATGATATAGATGATGAGAGATGAAAGATGAAATAGATAATGAGAGGCCTTGACTTTAAAGATGACGTCATGTAGCATAGTATAGATGGCAATCATGGACTATTCTCGACAGTCCAGTGGAACGCTAGCAGACTCACAACCTGTAAGTGTTTATGAACCATGTGTTCATCAGATGTACTAAAAAAACCCATTGACATGTATTGTCGGTGGACTCGCTAAAATAATATTGTCAATAAAGAAGATGATCATATGGACTTAGTGCCTATTAGATAAACATTGGCAGCTATGGACTTAGTACCAAATAGATAACACTAGCAACTATGGACTTAGTGCCTATTAGATAAACTCTGGAAGCGATGGAATTCATACCTATTCCTTAGGACCATTCCTTAGGGATAAATATAGAAGAATACCTACTGACAAGTATCATGGAGGAATCCCTGAACTAGTATTGTCAGCATAGATGATCCTTAGAGTAGATCCTTAAGAATAAAGAAGATAATGGGGATGAGAAATTAGGTTACGTGTTTGATGATTAAACATATTAATTATATTATTGTGGGTTGAAAACCCTATGTACTCACCAGGTTTCCCGACCTAACCCACTCAGTTTATTGTATCACATGTACCGATATTAAAGATACATTCTGCTGAGAGATTCAAGGAGTATTAGGCCACTAGTTTAATTACTGTAAGGCTTGTAATATTTTTTTTTCAGTATTGAAAATGACATCCCAATGTTTTAATATAAATAAAATGCATTTCTTCGGAAATGCTTTGATAATATCATTATCATGTTTTCTGGGAACGAATTCCGCAATGTTATTCCTCAAAAAGGATACTCTGATTTTTAAATAAGCATAAACAAATCAGTTTTTTATGGCCGTGAAATTAGAGATATAACAATTGGTATCAGAGCATTAGTTTAAGCGAACTAGGAATTCGTAGGATTTATAGACTTAAACTTAGAATGCTAAGCGATGATTATGAGATGAGTGTCTGCTATATTTAGGAAGTATGCTTGAATAGACACAAACACTAGCTTATTTAGGGAAGATGGCTAAATTGCTTTCATGTTCTAAATGATTTATGTTATAAGATGCCTTATATGCTTTATGATGATATCAGATCTATGGTATAGTGCCGACTGGATCTGGAAATTTTATGTGTTTAGATTTCTAAACGTTTAACTATGATATTAGAACTGACATGAAACTTTTCGGAGTGATAAAGAGATTTATACGTCTATCGTAAATAAAGCTTTCCCTATCTTAATTCTCATCACTATACACTGAACATCTGCTTTGGTGTATAGATTGACATGGTGAGAAATCAAAGCGGATTGGGAAATAGTAATTAGCAGTCTGAGACACGAGTGATTGAGTGTTCACCAGAGGTAGTAGTTGCACCCGAGCCAATCACGATGGCAGGAGTCCAAGCAATGATTCGGGATACGATGGCCTAACAAAGGGAGGAGATGAGACAAATGTTGTGTAATAAATGGGATGAACCTATTGTACATATTGTACAACCTGAAATGAACATAGAGCATTCATAGGAAGGAAACTATAGTCAGATTGTCAGTCAAGCTAAGCCATGTATGGTTAGAAGAAACCAACCCATTGGAGGAAATGATCGATGTGGATGCATGTACAAGGATTTCATGGCATCCAAGCCACTAAGTCTTTATGGATGCTTAACACCGGTTGAAGTCATGCATTGGATCTCCGAGA